GTCTGTTGTCTGTTGTCTGTTGTCTGTTGTCTGTTGTCTGTTGTCTGTTGTCTGTTGTCTGTTGTCTGTTGTCTGTTGTCTGTTGTCTGTTGTCTCCCGTCTCAAACCGACCCGGACCCGGCCCACCGTTGATTCGTGTCACCGCCCCATCGTCATGAAACACGAAACAGCGCAAACTGCATCGGGCCGGACGAAAGAGATCAGACCGAGATCAAACTGAGATCCCTCGCGCGCAATCCCAATCCCAGATCTCAACGTGTTACGGAGATCTGAGATCTGGTGGAAGCACAAGTACAATCGAGACCTGTTTGCTATATTACATCCGTGATCGTGATCTGTGTCCCGGCATCGACGTTGGTGGGTTCCGAAATCTGCTTGCTTTGCTTGCTGCTTGGTCTGCTTGCTGCTTGGTTTGCTTGGTGCTTGGTCTGCTTGCTTGTCTTGGTCTGCTTGCTACTTGGTCTGCTTGCTGCTTGGTCTTCTTTCACCGCCGCGGCGAGGTGAGTAAAGTCAAGTTGGAGCACGTCGGCGAGCCATGTCAAGTTGGAGCAAGTCACCCTCGCCCTCACCCCATTGCAAGATGTTTGACTCTCGCACTCACCCGCCATTTGCGACGTTTGTCTCTCACTCTCACCCGCCTTTTGCATGACGGACGTCGGGTACGGTGATACCCGCCCTTTGTGACGTTTGTCTGTCGGGTACTCGTATGGTGATGTGATACCCGCCCACCCCCCAGACGACGTGTCGGGCCCGAGCTGTTTTGTTTGGTCGGTAGGTAGTCTCCGTTTGTTTCCATGCATAGGATGGGACCCTATAAAAATCCCTGCGGCCGGGTCGACAAGTGCTTCTTCCTTTGTATATCTACCTGATAGCATTATACCGTTCCGACGAGACCGAGACGAGACCTTGACCTAGACCTGGACCTAGACCTAGACGACACGACATTCATGCAACAACTCGAATATAGCAAATCTCCATCATACCAGGCATCAGAACAGAACGGATCCAGAACCAAAAACAGAAACAGAAACAGAAACAGAACCCTCATCCTGAAAGGCCACGCCACACCACACCACACCACACCAAACAGAATATCAGTATCATTCTCGTCCTAGAAGTCGAAATCACATCATTATCCTTAAGTCGAACTTATACCTAAGTACAACTACAGACCATGTGCGAAACAGTTCGAAAGCACATCCATTGCCCGTCGTTCGACTGCAAGGGCTCGGAAGCGAACAAAGTCACCCTCTGCAAGTGGGCCAAGAACAACAAGCCATGCGAGAACCATAAGTTGCGCACGGTCGCGGGCGACACGAAAGACTGTGCGCTCCATCGGCGGAGTAAATATGAGGGAGAGAGCGGGCGAGGAAATCCGGATTGGTGGGACTGAGTTTCTGAGTTCGTGGATGGTTTCGTGGATGATTTCACAGGGAGAGACTGAGTTCGTGGATGCTTTCGTGGATGCTCACCCCAGGAGAGAGCGGGCGAGGAAATCCGGATTGGTGGGACTGAGTTTCTGAGTTCGTGGATGCTTTCGTGGATGCTCTCACACGATATTGTGAAAGATTGTACGAGTACGTATCGACATGATTCGAGGCCGATGCTCCCGTATGGAAAGGCAGCCTTGGCCGAGGCCTTCCCTTTCAGCCTGCAATAGTACTGGCCGGGCTATTATATTGTCGGCTTCAGAACATATCCAACCACCGGCAGGGCATTGGAAGGCCGGTTTATTAAGTTCGGTAGAAATTGACATCCAAAGTCGTGTGTCCACTGTCCATTGTCCACTGTCCACTGTCCCCAGTACTAGACCGGCCTTCCAGGAGAGCGTGCGCAGTATTGCCGGCTGTCGCACTATTGCTGGCGTCTTACCTCTTGGAATGGAAGACCAATTTTAGCCTTGCCCATGCATCATCCACTTCGGCCGGAATGTCCACGTGGGCAATATACCCTTTGCCTTTGGGCCCATAGCCGTGATCGTCGTCTCTCAATCGTGGGATTTCGCCCATGATAAGGTCGAAGAAGCGCCCGTGTTCCCATATCTCCAGCTCATCAATGCCCGAGACGTCGAAACGGAGATCTGGTCCCCCCTGGCGAATGCCTGATGACCCAAGTGACATGGTAGGCACGAAGGTCGGACAGGCAGCAAATGTGGGCGGCGGGAAAACATCAGCGTAGGTGTGGCTGAATGATGCTAGAGTGCGTAGTGACATTGTAGGATCCTGGACGATGACCAGTGACTTGGGGACGGGCACGGAATGTTGCTCCAGGAGCCGGCGCGTCTCGATGGCGTTGGCGCCACAGTTGGTAGATCTGTTCTCGACAAGGAGCTGTAAAGTGTTCGAGTTGATTTGTTCGCACAGTTGCGGGTAGAAGTTTTGGAGGATCAGGTTGAGAATGTCAGCTTCTGGCAGACCTTCGACCTTGTCTGCCAAAGAGCCGTATCTCCTGCTCTTGCGAATGGCTTCGTACATGAGCTGTGTCGAATGGCCAATTCCACCACAGAGAACCAATGTTTTGGTTAACCCTGGCCGAGACTGCAAAGCCGAGAAAACATTGTTGGCGATGGGAAGTACAGCACTGGCGCAGAAGACGAGCACGTCGAATGGAGCACATGAGGAAAGTGAGAGAATCTGCGGACAGGCAAGAAATCTGGAGATCAGGTTGATGTCTGAAACAACATCTGCTGCAGGGAAAGACATGATCCTCTTGCCAATGGCTTAGCCATTGTATTGTACCGAGTACCGTGCGGCAATACGTACTCACAAGGACGCAGCCCAGGCCAGGAAGCTGAGGAAGCTAGTAGGCAAGGGGAAACCGAAGCTCTCTCGAGACCCCGTACGCCAGCTGGTGTCCGAGTAGTGTCGACGTCACCCCCTCCACGTCGAGCTTGATCAGATAAGTGACAACATGGTCCGTTTTCGGCTTGGAAAGAGTTAGTTTACCAGGTTGTGAGATGGAAGGCTGTGCGAGAGGCTGCACGAGAGGCTGCGGTTTGATAGCACCCATAGGCACGTCACATGATTCCTATCTGATAAGACAGTAGCCTCGGGATCGACAGGCACTATCCGCTTCCGTCACCAGCCAGGCAGCATCACGTGTCGTGGAATAGCGCCACCTGCGCTGCACTGGCAGACGGTGTGAAAGTTGCAGATACTCGAGATCCCACACCATCCCGTTCTTGTGTTGCAACATACCCGTACATCAGTCCATGATCATCACACCTTCCAGCTTGTCTTGGCCAAGGACTATCGGTTGTAGAATCCTTGCAGTTTCCGCCATGCAAAGACATGATATGGCCTCGGAGCAACATCAATGCAACTCTGTCTAGCGCTACCAAGACCACTATGTTGAAGCCAAAGCAGCGCCAAAGGCTTGACAACTTCTTGGTACCAGTCAGAAGCCTGTGCCTGTTGTTCCGCCCGTCACCTTCTGGTTTTGGAAGCTCCGCTTCGATGGCAACATTCCTACTCACACGGCGCAGTGTGCACTCCATTGCGGAGAACAATGGCACAGGTCCCAGCGCTGCCGATTTGCTGTCGCTACTCTCGATTGACGATCAATGTACAGAGCACCCAGCCGCATTCACCATCAGTGGTGTTCCTGAGCCCAAGCAGCATCCTGCCAGCTCGATCCTGGCTTCGCTGTACCATGCGGGCGTTCTATGTTGACGTTGTTTTAGTCAAGTTGACGTTATTATCAGTCCCTCTACCCGTCTCTTGCCCTCGCAGGGTGGTGCTCGTGATAATGGTACTTGCTGGATGCAACATGGCTACGTGCGCCACTGTCCGGGTAGCTGCATCGAAAAAGCTGGAGTGGAGAGCTCAAGAGCTGGGCCGATGATGTTGGATGAACGGGAATACCGGCGTGCCATTTGTTTCCACACGGGTATTTATGAAGCCTTTGATAGCCAGTCATTCGAGAGTATCTCCCCAACCTCATATTCACCATCATGAACATGCTCTTCTGGAAGGCTCTCGCAACAGCGTTGGCTGTCTTGCCAATTGCAAGCGCAATCACTCCCGAGTATGGACTGGATCGAGTTACCATGCACCGTGACAACTACTAACACCCTCGTGTAGGGAGCTTCTTGCTGCCCCGCGACGAAGCGACCTTTCTCCGAATCCGCCAGGCGTAAGTCGATCGCAGGGAAGCCAATACCCGGACTGACGCTCCGCAACAGGAAATCGGCATCTTCAGTTCGACGAATTATTCATGGGAGTCCCACAAAGCTCATACGGTGTGGAACACTGTGAACTTGACGACAGGCGAAATCTCGTTGCTATACAATGGCTCTGAGATCTCTGAAATCGTGTGGGTTGGACCAACAAACACGAGCATCCTTTACATAAACGGGACCAATGAAGAAGACGATGGTGGCATCAGCATATATGGCGGAGACATTACCGCACTAGACGAGGCGTGCGTTGGGTCCCCGGCACGCAACGCAGACTTGAACTGACCTATGCAGTTATCTCATCGCCTCCCTGCCCGCCCCGTACTCTGGCCTGAAAGCCGTCGCCACCTCTTCGGGAGACGTCAATTTCCTCGTGAACGCGCTGGCTTGGCCAAATGGAACGGCATATAACGAAGCCCTGGTTGAGCAGCCATTGAGTACGGCGAGGATCTACGACAGTATCTACGTCCGGCACTGGGACACGTGGCTCACCGAGCGTAAATATGCCGTCTTCGCCGGCACTCTGACAGGAGGAGATAAGTATTCCTTTTCGGGGAACTTGACAAATCTGGTTTCCGCCATCTCCAATGTCACCCGCGCTGAAAGTCCCGTTCAGCCGTTTGGCGACTCGGGCGACTACGACATCTCGCCTGATGGCACTACAGTTGCTTTCTTGACCAAAAATATCGACCTTCCTCTGGCAAACTATACGTCTTCTCAAATCTATCTCGTCCCTCACAATGGCTCCTCCAAAGCCGTTCCCATCAACGGGTTCTCGGGCCCCTCGACTCCTCCTAATGCCCAGGGCGCTTCAGCCCAACCACACTTTTCTCCGGATGGGTCGAAGATTGCGTATTTCCAACAGGATGGCATCTCTTACGAATCCGACAAGAACAAAGTCTATGTTGCAAACGTCGACTCTGAAAATTTCAACATCACTGTGCTGGCGGAGAACTGGGATAGCACTCCCGATCAAGTGTCATGGTCTGTGGATGGCACATCGCTCTTCGTTGCGGCGCCCGATCTTGGAAACGAGCGCATTTTCGAGATTCCGTTGTCTGCGCAGGCCGACTTCAAGCCGGCTAACCTGACGGATTCTGGCGTTGTGGCCTCGTACTACGTGCTGCCCGATGGAAATCTTCTGGTGTCCGACTCGAAAATTTGGTCTTCTCGTGATTTCTACATCATCTCACCAGATGGGGCCCTTGTTACTGACCTTTTCCATGCCAACCAGGTCGATCCAGAGCTTGCCGGTCTGGGACCAGACGACGTGTCTGAGTTTTATACTCAAGGTAGCTTTACTCAGGTGCAGAGCTGGTTGATATTCCCCAAGGGATTTGATCCAAGCAAAAAATATCCGTTAGCGTTCATTGTCCATGGCGGTCCTCAAGGTGGCCATTACAACTCCTGGAGCACCAGATGGAACTTCAAGGTTTGGGCTGATCAAGGATACGTGGTGGTTGCCCCCAATCCAACCGGCTCCACGGGCTGGGGCACGGCTTTCCAAGACGCAATTCAAAACAACTGGGGAGGTTATCCGTATGAAGATCTGGTTGCCGTCTGGGAGTACGTCGACAGCCACTTGGATTATGTCGACACTGAGAACGGAATCGAAGCCGGAGCTTCCTACGGCGGTTACATGACGAACTGGATTCAGGGCCACGATTTGGGAAGAAAATTCAAGGCGCTGGTCACCCATGACGGTGCGACGAACATTGTTGCCCAAATTGGCACCGAAGAATTATGGTTCACGCAACACGAGGTGGGTTTATGATCATCTACCTCTGAGGGGCTAAACTGACCGCAGAATAGATGAACGGCACTCTTTGGGACAATCGCGACAACTATGAGCGGTGGAACCCGATCAATTACATCCATAACTGGGCGACGCCACATTTCGTGGTGCACAATAGCCTCGATTACCGACTACCAGAGTCTGAAGGAATAGCGCTTTTCAACATTCTACAAGAAAGGGGTATCCCTAGCAAATTCCTGAGTTTCCCGGATGAGAATCATTGGTGAGTACGACCATGCAACAACGTCCAAGTCAAGTCAGCTAATCATAGCTGCAGGGTTCTCAACAGGGAGAATAGTCTAGTCTGGCACAGGGAGATCTTTGATTGGATCAACCACTACTCGGGCATCAGTGGATGAATACGACTAGTAATAGAAGTCAGCAACGCGGTAATTGATGGAAGGGGTAATGAATCAGAGAGAGGGCTAATGCCATGCCATCCGAGAAGGGAGATTGGGAGCATTGGAGCATGAGCCGAGAGCGTTGACGGTTGTGTAGAGGGAGGCCGAATATAGCTATGGACAGATGTCAGATGCCAGTGACAGTAGCACAACCATCCCATCCTTGCGACAGAATACTTTGTATTTCTGTATATTACTGGCAGTAGTAGTAGTAGTAGTAGTAGTAGTAGTAGTAGTAGTAGTAGTAGTAGTAGTAGTAGTAGTAGTAGTAGTAGTAGTAGTAGTAGTAGTAGTAG